GTCTCGCAGTTTCAGTCGCGATTCGCTAATCGTCACGAGCGCGAACGCGACGCGCGTTGCGCGGAAATAAAACAGCAGATATTTTCTTGCGTCAGCTTGCGAAAAAAGCGAGAGGAGCGCAACAAGGAGCGGGCTGTGCGGCCCGCTTTTTTGAAAGATTGATGCACACCGGAGGAACATACCGAACTCACACGTTACTCCCATAGTGCTTCTTAGCGGATCGATGCTTTTACACCCTCCCGCGCGCGCTCTCCATCTCTCTTTCTCTCGCTCTCTTCTACTCTTTTCTCGCCTCTTCTTCGGAGCCACCACGTACGGCACGCCGGGAGAAACAGGCGAAAAGGGAGCAAGGAGAAAACGAGGGAAAACGTGTGCTGCCGAAAAGACCGGTGCACGAGAGATGGCGCGTGAAAATTCTAGATGTCCGCTATCAAATGTGACGGAATGATCTCCTCACGATCGTGAGAAGCTCGTGTACGTATGCCCGCGAATATAGGTGGTCCTAGGCGATCCCTTCAAGCATGAAAGCGAGATACCCCCAGCCGGAGGAAAGAAAATGATAGACTCGCTCTCGAAAACCGTCGAACGACGACAGTCATTCTTCTTGTCTTCGAGAAGTACGCGGGAGTAGATGCGCCGGGAGGTCGCCTGTGAAAACGCCTCTTAGCGCGTACAAGGTAACAGCAACATACAGGTCAGTATGACGGGTTGCTTGCCCCTATTCGGACGATAATGCAGAGGTTTCCGAAAAAGGTCACTCGTTGACTTTGTTGATAATGATATTTGCCGTATTCCCAGTCATGACAGATGCAACTAACTTTGCACCGTGTTCGTTATGAACACGGTTTATCGAGCGTTTATCGACAGGAGTCGAGCCTCGCTGAATTAGAAAAAATGTTTGAAAGATGAAACTGAGAAATAAATATTACGGAATAAAGCAGAATAAGTAAGAGTAATATTTAAAGAGATAAGTAATACAACGTATTTCCTGGTTTCGCATAATAATTTCTTAATTATTTTCTCACGTTGGAAGGTTCGATAGAAACTGTGGATTAGGAAGAACGATACAGAAATATTTAAAAGCCTTATGTACTGTATCTCATCCATGTCTCTACAAAAGATCGCTTCTGCAAAAGTATGAATAGACTACAAACGCAATATACATATTGGTTGCAATTTAATCGACCGCAACTATCAAGCTGCAAAAAGTTTCGAGGAACAGGCCCTGTTTTCGATAAAAGATACAAGACTATAACGGCCCTATAGATTATAAAAGGCCCTATTTTCGGAGCCAAGATACTAGAAGACTATAATGTACCGAAAATATGTTGCTTGATAGTTGCGGTCGATTAAATCGCAACCAATATTTACACTGCGTTTCTAGTCCATTTATACTTTTGCGAAAGCGATCTTTCGTATTTAGACCTTTAAATATTTTTGTATCGTCCTTTCTAATCTTCAATTTCTATCGAACTTTTCAACGTGAGAAAACAATTGAGAAATCATGCAGAAGCAGCAGGAAATATGTTGTATTATTTATCTCTTTAAGTATTACTCTCGTTTATTCTGCTTCATTCCGTAATATTTATTTCTCAGTTTCATATTTTAAACATCTTTCCTAATTCAATGAGGCTCGACTCCTGTCGGTAAACGGTCGATAAACTGTCACAACGAACACGGTGCAAAGTTAAAGTCATTCTACGATACGTGTCGTAAGTTGTAAGCCGTAAGAACTGACCAATTATAGCCGATTATATTTTTGTAATAATCGACTGTGACTCGCCAATTCTTACGGCTTACAACTTACGACACGTATCGTAGAATGACTTTTAGTTGCATTTGTCATAATTGGGAACACTGCAAAGATCATTGTCGATAAAGACAACGAGTGACTTTTTTCGGCAACCTCTGCATTATCATCCGAATAGGGGCAAGCAACCCGTCATACTGACCTGTATGTTGCTGTTACACCTTGTACAGTTCGCTTCGCTGTCGGAAGCCCGCGCATACGCGGGCTTCTCCGTCAAGGAGAAGGGAAAAAGGAGAAATAGTAATGACCTTACGTGTATGCATATGGTATGCGCGCACTTTGAAACGAGTATGTGAGCAAGAGACCCAAGAGCACGAAGATCCCCGATTAACGAGCGAGTACACACGTATATATACTGCATATGCCGATTTCAAGAGAGACTTGGCGACTCGGTTCGGACGAACGAGAGGGCAAATGAAAATCCTTCGGCCCTCGGCTCGAAATGCCGATGATTTCAAGTCGGGCCGGTCGAAGAAACGAAAGGACGCGCTGCGAGATCGAGCGAAATAATACGGTGCAAGCGGCGAGTTGAAAGGTCCTAGTAATCAGCGGCATCGTTTTTTCAATCAAGAGTAGACCCTCGCTAATATATATATATATATATATATATATATAAAATATGATTCCCGGGATGAATAATCCGACTCGTGCTCGATCGATTTCTCATACGCGCGGCTAATGGAATTTTATAGCAACCGCTGTGCCGCGATCGTGATTGGGTCCGCTTATTCGCGATCGTCGCGTACGACGTATTCATCGAGTCGCGGTAAGCGCGGCGAGGGGGGAGGAGCGCGGATTACTCCGCGGAGTGAAATCTGAAAATTTGCCAGAAATGAAAAACGCGGAACGCGCTCGACGACAAATCGCGCGCGTCACATCGAGAGGAAAATCAGGAAAAATCGGAAAGTTCTATATGTAAACCTCTGTAAAGCGACCGGCGAAGAATAGACCGTTTGTGACGGCCGGAGACGTTGTCGTCGTAAGTCGCGCAATGTTAACAGTGTTAACACTCACGAGAGGAGGACCGAAGCACAGAAGCGAACGAGTGTTTGTTTGCGCAAAAACCCAGTTTAGTCTGCCAAGTCTGCCAAGTTTCTCGCCTCCTCCGACTCCTCGAGTCTTCGAGACTTGGAATTCTGTGATTTTTAACGGCGATGCAATCGCTCGGTCCTACCCCCGCAGAAGATGCACGTGTACAAGAAAACCCTGCAGGCGATGATCTACCCGATATCCTCGACCACACCTCACAATTTCGTCACCTGGACGGCCACGTCGCCTACCTACTGCTACGAGTGCGAGGGTCTGCTGTGGGGCATCGCTCGGCAGGGGGTGCGATGTATGGAGTGCGGCGTCAAGTGTCACGAGAAGTGCAAGGATCTCTTGAACGCCGACTGCTTGCAGAGTGAGTAATAACGTCAGCCTTTTGCGTCTCGCGCTGCCGCGTTTAGCCGCCGAGCGCGGCCTCGATGAAATCCCGACAATACGCGCGTTCATAGTGGCAATGTCGGCTCGATCAAAAAGTTCCCTTCGTTTTTCGAGTCAAATTTAACTTTATTGCGCGCGATGGAGACAAATTATTCCTCAGCCGAGCAGCCACCGTCGTCTGTGTGCCACCTGCGTCAACGTTCGAAAGCGTTCGTGCACTCTTATCGTGAGAAGATCGCCGGTTCACGTTGTCAGGAGACAGACTGAAAATCGGGAAAAAGAGCCGGAGAAGAGCCTTTGGCAAATTAATTGAGATTTTAATTAGAAATTTCTCGGCTATTTATTTATTCCACTCATCGCGGCGAATCGGTCGATCAAGCTCGGTCATTACGACGTAGAGCGGCCGAGTCCTTGGGGAAAGTATCCAGCGCGAAGTAATATGATTAATTACAGCAAGGTTCTTCGCTCTCTCTTTCTCTCTCTCTCTCTCTCTCTCTTCCCCCCTCGCGAGAGGGTCGACGATGTCGTCTTAAGTAAATTAGCTCGCCTCGTGCAAAGTGTCATCGCGCGTATTTGCATGGCTATTGCGACGAGACGAGATGAACGACGGGGTCACGCGCGCTTGAATCGAACGCTTTAGAGGCCCTCGAGAGAAGTATGGGCGTGATTTTTCATAAAGTCGCTCGAGGATGCCTCGAGATTGTAAGAGCGCCGCTGTGTCTCGCCACGGAGACACGGCAATAGATGCATCTCGAAGACTCCGCGCCGTCCGAGTCGCAAAGGCCATGCCTCGTCGCGCTACCGACAAGTCGCCGTAATTAAGAGCTTCGGCTCCATCCATTAACGAGCGGGCAGTAATCGGAATCGCTCTCCGCTCCCCTCCTTCCCCGGGAAAAGCCAGCCGGGCGAGGCCGAGGGAAGAAGAAGAAGATCGAAAGTACCTCTCGAGATTCGTTAAACGGAGATTAAAGGACGAGCGGACGAGTCTCGGCGGAGCGACATGCATTCAAACGGCTATTTTCCCTTATTCGCCGCGAGAGAGAGAGAGAGAGAGAGAGAGAGAGAGAGAGAGAGAGAGCGCCTCCTCGCGGCCGTCGCGTCTCACCTCGGAACAAATTAATAATTAATCCGCCGCCGTATTAGACGGCACTTCGACGTCCGTCGGTCGCTCGGTCGGCCGCTATTTCCGTCATCCGGCGCGTCGCCTTGTCAATAAACGGATATTATTCCCGTCCCTCGTAGAATCGACCTGCAACGAACGGTCGCGCACCGACGGACTTTTTACAGAGCGGCCGGCACAGCGAAACAACTTTCCGCGAAAGGCCGCGGCCGTAAATCCATTTCGTCCGCTCGCTTTCGGCCCGGCTAACGGCGCTCGGCGAATTGTATAAACCGAACTCGAACGTTCCGATCGGGAAGTAACGACGACACCCGCTTAACGACGCCCGGCTCGTCCATCAGATTTTCAATTTGATCCCAGCCGGAATCCTTCCATTCTCTCCGCGGCCGTATATATCCCTCCTCGTCCCCTCCCGAACTAATGATTCCCGTCCTTCTCTCTCTCTCTCTCCCCGACTTCGTGCCCGATAAAGTTTCTTTCCTTGATCGGACAGCTGGCGATTAATTTGCAGCCCCTCTCTCCTCTCTCTCTCTCTCTCTCTCTCTCTCTCTCGCTCGCTCGCTCGCCGGCTCATTGCTTCCTACTGGCCGCCGCGGCGCACAGTTTGCCCCGTAATTCCGTTCTCGATTAATTTCCACTCATGCACCGCTGACTGTTCGTATGTAATTTCGATGTACCGGGTGTTTCCCCGAGAGGACGATCGAGCATTGTACGCTCGTCTCTTTCCGCCTCGGCCGGCGGTTACCGGCGAATGATCGTGACCGGAGAGACCGCGCGAAATCGGCGCGGCGCAAAAAGTCGCGATTCGCGAGAGACGAAACCCCGACATCGCGGATCCCGTTGCGTCGCGTCGCGTCGGCTCCGCGCGCGATTTAACGTATCTGATGCCCGCAGATTAATACGGTAATCAGAATCGACGCGGGTATTACCCGGGCCGCGCGGAAACGCGCGCGGCCATCTATTATCGCCGCGCGCGCGCGCGCGCGCGCGATACGTCACGTCTCTTCTAGTCGGCGTGCAATTTTGCGAAACGCAACACCGGCCGTTGTTGCGTTATCAGCTGCGATATCAGCGGCGACTCGGCGCTTGATACCCGAGCGTGAAAACGTACGACATCGCTCGATCGGCGCGAACGATACGGCGCGGATAAAGCGCTCCCTTGCGCTACCCCGGCGAGTGGCGCGCTGTGAAATTCTCGGGGGGCGGGGGGGGGGGGAAATCTCTCGCGCAGCCGCGATGTGTATTTTTTCCTCCTTCCTATCTTCTCTTCTGACGCGCGTTGTATTTTAATTGTCAGCGCTTTATCAATAGCATCAGTCGGCGCGCGTTGTTTTTCAACACGCGCGCGCTCGACCCCGTATCGTGTGTAATAAATCTTCTTTACTCTCTGGCGAAATATATTCCCTCCCCCCTCTGCCACTGCCGCCGTTCTATCTGTGAGCGGGATGGAATGTTTTATCGGCGCTGGTCGACATCGCGGCAATCGAGATATAATCTGCAATCGATAATCCGATTGGAATATTTAACCGGGAATTTGTTGATGAATGTAGCGTTAATGGCGCCGCCGGCTAACGAACCGTAACGAACGGACACGTGTCGCGCACGACTCTTGAGCGCCTCGTGTCATGTCGACATCACATGTCGCTTTTCGCAGGGGCGGCTGAGAAGAGCTCGAAGCACGGCGCCGAGGACAAGGCGATCAGCATAATCACGGCGATGAAGGAGCGGATGAAGCAGCGGGAGCGCGAGAAGCCGGAGATCTTCGAACTGATCCGGTGAGTGTCGGGGGTTTGCCGCCATCGCCGCCACCCCTGCGGCTTTTCTCCTCTTTCTTCTTTTGTCACAGCGTGCCATTGTGCGACGAGCGAGTCAGTGTCGCCGCGACTCGCTCGCCGTATCCGACGGTTGTTCGAGCCCGAGGACGAGCAAGAGCGCGGCGTCGACGCCGACGCTCGAAAGTTCGAGCCCGACGCGGCCCACGTCGCCACCGCACGTCGCCATTTTCGAGAGCCCGCGTGTCCCGAAAGTCGACGACCACGGCACGACCCACGTGGTCGTGCTGAGGGGGGGGAAGCCCCGGCGATATCTCACGCAGCCTCGGCGGAGCCGAGCTCTCGCGAGGGAGAGACCGCTCAAAGGCGTTCTTTCAATCACCGGCTAATTAGAAAGCGCCGCCAACTGTCTACCGCGGCCTCTCCTGTGTCGCCGTGCTTCTCTGTCTTTGTCCCCTTGGGGAAAAGGGAGCTGTACATACGCTGTATATATATGAAACTTGCGGCTGCCGCCGCGCGGGCGAAAGACGCCCGAGGAGGATAACGCGGAGGATGTGATAACGCCGTCCGCGGATGCGACACGCTCGCTCAACGGAGCGGAAACCGGCCTCGAACCGGCGCGCCGCGAGCCGCGAGCTCTGAAACTTCCGTCGGGCGTGTCGTCTTGGCGCGGCGACAGAGTGTATTTATTTCCCACGCTTCGTTTCGTTATCGAGCAACTGTCGGCGCAACTATGATCGATAGTCGCCGGCCGCGCGGAGCTCTCCTTGGGGAAACGCACCCCCGGGAGTACAGCTCTATAAATAAGTCGCGGAATTTATATCTGCGTGTACCGCCCAGCTGTATAATATTTTTGTACTCTTACACATCGTCGAACGTCGCCGCGGCGAGGCGGAACGCCGAGGGGGACGGGACGGGACGGGACGGGACGGGACCGGCCGAGGGAGGAAGATTCTACGCGCGCACGGGGGGGAGAAGGTCAGGAGTTGAGCGGAGTACCCGCGCGTAGCTACGTGTTACGTCAGCTGTAATAATAATCTTCGAGATATTATCGATTTAACAGCAACTGGGCCGGCGGAGGGCCGGGGAGGGCCGGGGGGCAAACCGCTCATTCAATAAACGTGTTATTCTCGCGAGGCGAGACGAGCCGTCGCGCCTCCCGGCGCGAAATATAATCCCGCGAATTAATATTATCCGCGCTCGCGCGATAATCGCTATTGACATTTATATGTTTAATCGTCGTGGAGCTCTGCTTCGAGTTCCACGTCGTGTCCGTTGCCCGCGCAAATTAACCCCGCCCGGAATTAACTCCGCCCGTTGTTCGACGGCCGCCCGTCCTCTCAAGGACCGGTCGCATCGCCGATGAAAAACAAACGCCCGTGTGTATGCATGTGTGTGTGTGTGTGTGTGTCGCGCAACGACACACAAAATGACGATTAGCAGGCGCGGCTGGTGTCTTGCGTTAATTAGGCACCCTGCCTGGAGGCATCTCGACGAGAAGCTCAGAAGCAGCCGACGTCGTCGTCATCGTCGTCGTCGTCGTCGTCGTCGTCGTCGTCATCGAGCTGCTCGTCGCAGTGAGCAAACGTTAAATGGATAACGCGAGCTCGTGCGGTTCAGCCGCGTCGTTGAAACAACCGTCTAATCTCGCGTTTGCGCACCTTGCGTCGATCCGCCGTCGGCCGTGCCGTAATTAATTGAGCGTGTCGCTATGCGGGAATCTCCGGACGCGCGAGCCGTGCATTTCGATCTTATTAGTCGAATTGGCTGGCTCGGGGAGGCTCACGTATATAAATACGCACGTGTGTGTGTATGTGTGTGTGTGTCGACGCTGGGACGATGGAAGTCATACAGCCCGCGAAAGCCGGCCTGATAAAAGCCAGAGCCAGCCGGTCGGTTAATGAAAATCAACGTTAATTAATATCGCCGCGCTACACAGACGCCGCGTATAGTCCGATGGCCCGATAGCGGACGAGGACGAGGGAAGGACGAGGAAAGGGGGAGGGACGGGAACACTCCGATGAGAAGCGGCCGCTCGATACGCGCGTTCAATTAGCCCGGCATTAGTACGTATTACGATTGCGCGCACACCTCGCCGCTTTTCGCCTCGTCCGGCAAATAACTGCGAACGACGCGTGTATCTCGCGATTATTAATTAACCGACCGACCGACCGACCGACCGGCCGCGACGTCAAAGGGCACGAGGTGCAGGAGGGAGGAATATTAATAAATTTTTCCCAAGCTGCGTTTCCGACGAACACGCACCGAGAGACGACGACGGCGACAAGACGGAAGGGGTCGATTAGCGGACACGCTGGCCGAATTAATCGGCGCGCGTTAATATCTCCGGATATTTTCCTCGTTTTCGCCGGCGTAATTCAGCACCGCGGTGTAATTAGCGCACGAAATTAGCGGAGCACAGCTGCAACGATCGTTATATATATATATATATATATATACATATACACACACACACACACACACATATATATATATATCGCGTATGCCGGTGTGAAAAGCGACGCGAGTCGACGAGGAGGAAGTCGCTTTCGCGAAGGGAGAGGGGGGCAAGCAAGAAGCACCGGCGACCCGCGGCGAGTGTATCGCGTACTCTGCTGAAAATAGCGCGATTAATTTAACGTCCCGGGTGGCGATAATTAGTTGTCAATTATAGCTGCACCTCTGCGGCACAGTACGACGGATACAGAGAACAATCCGTCGTGTTTAAATGGGACACGCAGCGAGCATGGCGATGCGCAATGGCGACAGTGGCGAGACGCAAGACGCGTCGTGGGCGCGACGGAAGCGACGGACGTGCGACGAACGGAGCGAAACGTTCGGCAAGCACAAGCAGTAAGCAAGGCCCGATCTCGTCTTGTCTGCACCAACGAAAGATGCGTGCCGGCTCTGGCGAGAGAGAGAGAGAGAGAGAGAGAGAGAGAGAGAGAGAGAGAGAGAGAGAGAGAGAGATAGAGAGAGATAGAGAGAGAGACAGAGAGCTCGGGGCGAAAGTCCCCGGCTGGGGGATTAGCCGGCGGCCGAGCGACCGTCGGGCAATCAACGTTCTCGTTAGCGGCTTGATCGATGACCAGCCGCTTTAATTAGAAGGCCGTTTGTCCGGTTTGCGCGTACGCAAAATTTCCACCGGCTCGTCATTGGCCGCGGTTCGTTCCGCCGTTCGCTCCGCCGTTTGTTGGCTGGGACTGGGAGTTCGCACGTGGTATCGAGAAAAGGATGTTCGGCAAGGAACGGCTAACGAACGCGTTCGACCCCCTCGCCCTCCCCCCCCCCCACCGGAGGGAATCCCCCGAGCTCTCGCACGTGGAAATCGCCCAGCCGGCGATCGTCCTGTGGCGCGGCTGAAAGAAGCGGCGACAGGAGGATTCGCGGACGCGATTCCGCGGCGCGCTAGAACGCAGACAGGACGTGGACCGCGGCCGTTGGCACAGCTCATGTGAAAGAAAGTCTCGTCGGAGTTTAGGTCAGTCTTCGGGGTCGACGAGAAGGCGCACTCGGGTCACATGATGTCGGTGGAGCAGTCGGTTTTGGACGGTACCAGCAAGTGGTCGGCGAAGATCGCCATTACAGGTTTGTGGATCGCAGCTCTAGCGCTCGCCGGTACCTAAGTCTGGTCTTGCACTCCGTACCCGAATGCGACGAGCGCAGCATCATGGTTCTCGTCCTTGTATACATGATACCATTACATATGTGTACTGCGTGTGCCTTACATATCTTGATCTGTGCAGCGATACACCGTTGTCCCCATACACTCGCGCATATATATATATATATATATATATATATATATATGTATGTGCGTACATATAAACACACAAAGAACTTTATACAAATGCATATTATATACTTTACACACATACGTACGCGCGTGACCACACGATTACTTTGGGCTCTCACTATTATTATCGTTATCACCGCCATTGATTATACCCCACGAGCCCAGATCTGGCGATGGTAACTGGCTCTGGTGGCTGCCGCGCGCTGTGTTGTATTGATTGCCACGGACACATCATCAACATATTGTCTAACGATTGCCCGGCCGCTAATAGCATTGTCGAAAGGCGCCCGACCGTCGTACGATAACCGAGAATATACCGTTCACGATCCCACGGGCAGGGTCGAGCGTTACGTTTACGTTACGATACGTTGCGTTCGAGGCCGCTATAACTCGCGCCAGTATACGCGTTAATTACGCTTCGGTCTGTTTCGATAACGACGGTTCTTCTGCAACGCGTTCTTCGTGCACGGCGCGGCGGTCGGGCCACTTTCGCAAGCGGCAATTCCGAAGCCCCGATCCAAGTCACACACACCCCCCCGCCCCGCAAACTCGAAAGTCTCCCCCCCGCCGATAACAGACCATAACACCATCACCGACACAACACCTACTACTATATTATTACTGGTATGTGTGCGCGTGTACGCTATGCTGCTGTTACGTGTATGCTGCTGCGTTTTTCTCATCTACATTTGCCGCTGGATGTGACGGTGTTGCGCGCTGAACATTAGTGTGTATACATCATTGATTGGACATTTGCCGGCACATTCCCGCTTCCTGTCCTTAACGTCCTTTTTTCCCCCCTCCTCCCCCGCGCTATGGCTGTGCGACCGCCGGTCGCTGCGATTTCACGGCAATCCGGCCGGCGCGCGACCGGTTCGTTTCGACGAGCCGATCGGCGAAATCGAGTTTGCAGGCTTCCTCGCGTCGCTTCGCGCTCGACGACTCGCGCTAGTCGTCGTTCCCTCTCTTCCTCCCCCCCCCCTCATTCTCTCTCTCTCTCTCTCTCTCTCTCTCTCTCTCTCTCTCTCCGTTCAAGCGTTGGCCAGCTTCGCGTTTCATCGGACGAAATGGAATCGAGCCGAGCGATCTCGACAGAGACAACATCTCGATTAGCCGAGTACAGCCGCTCAGCCGCTGGCTGAGTTTCCGGAAGCGGCCGCTTTCGGCCGCTTCCCGAGCGGCTAATCCGGGCTCGTTAGCAAAGATCACGGCGATTCTCAGCCAGGCCGCGCGCGGCCCCGCGGCTCAAAGGGGTGAACACGTTTGGCCTCTGTTTATGCGACGACACACTGAGATGTGGCGAGGTGTCGTGCGGTCGTGCCGTTCAGGTATCACGCGATGTGCGAGGGAATCCAATCGAAAGTCCATTAGGGTCACGTGGCAACTTGTTGTGGCGGCAAGTATGTGCCGTTGCCATTGTCTAAGGTAAACTCCGCTATAGCTTTAGAGCGAGTCCCTGACCCGATGGGCCAATATCACACACCGCTGTGTCTATCGAATGCAATCTACCAACCACCTGTAATCTTCGGCATTATCGACGAGGTGAGCATGCGCGCATGCGCGCGCGCGCGCACTCATCATCGATCATCGTCGCTTCGCCGATCGAGCCGCTCGCCGGCTCGGCCTGAATCGACCTGTAGCTTGAGCTCCGAATGGAAAATAGGTCTCGCGTGTCGAAGACGCGGGTGGAAGGAAATGAATTCGTCTCGGTTTCCCGCCCCCCCCCCCCTCTCTTTCTGATTGTCGGGCAGACGTGCGGTGACGTGAACGCACGTAGACGTACGATGGTTCCCGCGTCTTCTTCGACGCGTCACGATGAAGAAGAAATATGTCTGTGTCCGTGACAGACGAGGGAAGTATATTCTCACGTCGCGTGAAATATAAATCGCGCTCGTGGATTATGGATGGTAAAGTTCAGCGGGTAGACGCGCGTATAGTAGGTCAGTACGATGTGTGTGTGCGTGTGTGCGACGCGTATGTTGCGCACAAGTTGAGCATACTTTCTTTGCAACCTTGCGAAAGTTACTTCGTCGCTGAGGAAACACCATTAAGTCGGTCTATATTTCGCGTAAACAAACGCCGCGGCACAGCCTTATCGATCGATTTCTTCTCACGGCGGGCCATTACCGCGCGGGCCGAGAACGCGCGTGCTTCACGCGCCAGAAAGCACAGCGGTGGAGGAGAGGAGAGGAGAGGCGCGTGCTCGGGGAAAAAGTTCCGGCGAAGTAAGGCCGAGGCTAAGCGGCCCGCGCGCGGCTTCTTTTCTACTTCCTTTTGTGCTCGTCGTCTCCACTGCGCGGTAACGCGCTGCTCCGGAACCATTGTGCCCGCGAATCAAAGTGGAAATGAATTTCTCTTTCTCTCTCTCTCTCTCTCTCTCTCTCTCTCTCTCTCTTCCATTGCCCGTCTCGCCGCGTCCCTCTCGCGCGCGGCTATCACGAGGCGCATTTACCAGCGAGAAGATCTGGATTCCGACGAGGCTCGGATAGGAGAAAGTATGAGACGCGTGTTTTATTTTCTATGCACTTCTTCGCTCGCTCGCTCGCTCGCTCGCTCGCTCGAATCGGCCCTTCGCGGCCAATTCCCTGCAATTTCGTACTCGCGGACGAGTATCCTTCAAATTGTGAGGTACGAGAGAAGAAGAAGAAGAAGTTTCATACCCGGAATGTTTGTATATTCTTTGAAGGTCTAGACTGTGCTCGGATAGCTCGAGAAGCCGAGAGTACGAGAGACACGTGCTTTTTTCCTAGGCGCCTCCTCCTCGCTCGTCCGACGGTCGAGTCGATCTTCATGGCCAACTCTGTGCACTTGATCACGAACAAGTGTCCTTAAAGTCGCGAGGGGTACGCGGGGAGAAGAGATTTGTACAAAGTTTTCAAGTAGTTTGATGGCATCACTGTATTTAGATTCTTCGCAAGCGCTACATATTTCGATTGTGCGCCTTCGTGATTACCTGACGAACCCTTGGAAATTCCCGCAAAGACGAAGATTCGAGAGAACTTGACATTCGAATTCGATTGTGCGCGACGAAATGATTCCGCGAGATTGCGTCTGTGAGATACGAGTCACAAGCGCCACGCCACGAGTAGTTACAGGAGAGACGGGACAGGTCTCGACAGGCGCCGTCTGACCGTGGCGTGTCTGCGACTACTTACAGCACGGCGAGTACACAACTCGTATCTCACAAATGCGATCTCGGGAGATAATTTTATTGTAGGACAGCCAGAAATAAAGGAACGTGTCTTTTTTTTTTATTACAAGCTCGTTTACACGCGCGTGGCAATGGCTGAAGCGACCCCTCCGGGTCGGTTCCATCCGTTTGATTGCGAGAACGAGAATTACCTCGAAGCGACATGCTCGAAGCTCGTCGAATGAAGAACACTTCGAGCTCGGCCTCTGTTTGAGTCTCCCCGACGAGCGGTTCGACGATAAGTCGATAACATTGGCCGGTGGCCGATGGCCGAGAGGGCTTCGATCCGCCGGCGTTCCTTTACCTTCGATACACGAAGACGCCCGTCAGGGGGAAATCGAATTGCCACGGAGTGCGCGAAATTATTCAGAAAAATCGACTGCGCGCAAAAATTACATTTTAATTTATAATCTCTCGCGTCGGGACTTGGCAAGCGCAAGCGAAGAGGGAGTTTCGCTCGCGGGCGGAAAGTAGCCGCGATTATTCTTCGATGGAGAGGAGACGAGAGAATTGAGTTTCCCTGAGTTAATGGACAGACGGGGGCTTAAGCGCTCGCGACAAGTTCCAACACTTCCGGCTGCGCGGGAGCTGACGAGGGACGAGAGTCGCGATCGTCGGTGCACAGACACGATCAAGGCGCGCGTTGACCTTTCCGCCATATTCTCGTCGTCTCGTCGCTCGTCTCAGACTCACAGATTGTCGCCGCGACGAGACGTCCACGTAAGTCCCGTAATTGGCGATGGCCCATGTAAGTCGAGTGCAACAAGTTTTCTCACTCCAGCTCGCCGAGATCGGTCGATCCGCGACCGCGCAAAACGATGTTAATTCCACGCTCGCGGGCTAAGTTAACAGGTGGCAAGAGCGACGCGCGCTCGCCGCTACAAACTCATCGCAAGCATTTTCGCAAGAGCGACGCCTCTTCGCCGATCGATCGGTCCGCCGGAGCTCGCGCAAGTTGCGACTCCGCGATGAGAGAGAGAGAGAGAGAGAGAGAGAGAGAGTCCCGATGGCATTTCGTTGTACAGAGCGCACTCGATCGCTCGCAACTCTCGAGAGTCGCTCTCTCCTCGACTTCCGCCCGACACGATCCATTTCGTCGGACCTGCAGCCTCGTCGATATTTCTCCCATGTAAATAGAATCCACGTTGTCTCGATCGATCTCCGCGAGGACCACGGGAACCGTCTCGCTCTCGCCGAACAACGCCTATCCCGTTTGTGCTCGAGCTTTCGTTTGTCGAGCTCGCGCGAAATCCACGAGAAGAGCGCGGGTCCGCGGACGAGACAGCTTCCAGCGTATATACGGTTGATCCAGCGCGGATTGAGGGCGGGTTTCAAACACTCGTCTCGCTTTGCTTTCACACGGCGCCGAGATACACACCGGCGAAATCCCTCCAAAAGAGAAGAGAGAGAGAGAGAGAGAGAGAGAGAGAAAGGGAGAGAGAGAGAGACGAGAGGGAGGAAAAAAGCGAAAAGCGACGATACCCTTGATCCTGGCTGCGCGAATGTACGTCCACCCCCGCTATAGTTAATATTGGGCTGAAAATAAGCGCCGTTGCTGGATGGCGTTGGCTGATTATCGACGATCTCCCGCCTCGCTACGAT